GCAGAACCGAGGGTTGCGATCCCGTTGCCGGTCCCAGTCCGGTACGGGGGCGACACTGAGGGTTGCGATCCGTTGCCGGACACGGAAAAAGACAAAAAAAAAAAAAAGAAGGGGAAAGACCGGGAAGGGTGTCAGATAAGGGAGGCAAACGGGAGAAGACAGTCGGTGAATCCCATTTCACCTTCGTGGTGGCGTGGGTGCCGCCGGGCATGGCGAGCTGAGGAGCAGCAGCCGCCCCCCCACAGGAAGGCTGAGAACTGCACCAGCACCTGCCCCAGTGTGAGACCCTGACTGCAGGACAAGACAGCCCCTGCTGGCCAGAGGACCCAGACAGGCCCAAGTGCCAACATGGCTACTCCCCCAAAGACACAGGCAAAGACTACAGCCTGTAGTCCATGTGCCTCATCTCTGGAGCCTGTTTGAAAGCAGATCGCCTGAGGGCACTCGGCGCCCCATGCCTGAAGACCACCCAAAACCCAACAGATGGACCTACAGAGGATCCCTACACCCCAACAGTCCTGGCCCTGGCCACATCCCACGGGCTTGAGCCAGCTGCTGTCACCATCTCTCAGGACACACATATCCCCCCTCGAGAGCTGAGCCCTCATTTGCCCCGTTCAACCTAGGGTCTGAGCAGGGACCTCACCTACCCAGCAAAAAACATCCCTGACCTTCAGAGAAGCAAAGAGGGCTTCTCAGTGCAAGCCCCATGTGGACCCATGGGGTTCTCTAAGATCCAGAAAACCCCTTGGGGGATAATGTTGCCTTTACCCATTTTCAGCAGTGCTATTCTCTAGGAGGCCCCAAGTACTGCAAAAAAAGCTGCTGGAAGCTCTGCTCACAGATGAAAGGCCACCAAAGGACACAGAGGGTGTCCTGAAATGTGGCAGAAATGCTGCAAGAGGGGAAAGTATAGCAGGAGCCTGCAGGACCAACACAGGCCCAGGGCAGCCCAGGAAGCAAGGCCTCTGGCCAGAATGGCTGCTTGGACCTCAGGACAGGTAAGATCCTGGCCACACAGCCCATTTTGTTTCTCGAGGTGGCTCTACATGAACAAGAAGCTGACCAGCACTCAGACACCTGGGGCTCCCTGAAGGGAGAAAAAAGGCTCTCCTGGGGCCACATCCCTGCATGTAGCCTGGGAAGTGGACCTCTCTCCCGTCTGTTCCAACTCACAGGCAGGACCTCAGCAGGCACCTCAAATGCCCTGTGGATTCTTCTGAGCAGAAGCTCCCACTGCTGAGCTCCCAGCCACTCCAAGCACAAATCAAGGAGAGAATTTACCAGTGTCAGGGTCTGGAGCATCCCACACCTACTAAAACAGAGGCCGGCCTACTTGAGCATCCCCAACAGTTCCTGCCACAGGACAAAAACAGGTCTGGGTCTCGCCCACTCTCCTGGCCACAAGTTCTAGAGAAAGGTCCAAGCACATACTGCTCAGAATAGTCATCACAGAGCAAGGGCAAGTCCTCCCACCCCACACCCACAACGACTCCCTGACTGCACTCAGAAATAAACCTGAGCCTAGACAGCACAAGGGGTGGAGAGGAGAGCAGAGATCAGCTGAGACATGAGATGACTCCGCCCCTTTACTTTGCCCTTCTGGACATGACTTCCATGCTGGCCACACCCTATGGGGCTCCCACGGCCCAGGAGAGAACCTTCAGCTACATGACAGGTGGAGAGGAGAGCAGAGATCAGCTGAGACATGAGATGACTCCGCCCCTTTACTTTGCCCTCTGGACATGACTTCCATGCTGGCCACACCCTATGGGGCTCCCACGGCCCAGGAGAGAACCTTCAGCTACATGACGGTTTTCAAATGTGTGGCCTGCCCTTTGCCATTTGAGGATTACAGCAAATGATTCTATTTGTAATTCTGTCTCCCACCAGAAGCTCGATAACTTCGTATAATGTATGCTATACGAAGTTATTACGATGACTTCCATGCTGGCCACACCCTATGGGGCTCCCACGGCCCAGGAGAGAACCTTCAGCTACATGACGGTTTTCAAATGTGTGGCCTGCCCTTTGCCATTTGAGGATTACAGCAAATGATTCTATTTGTAATTTCTAACCCTCCCACTGCCTCCCCCCAAAAAAACTGTACATGAGTTTACAAACATATTAACATATAAATAATGAGAAATGTCCTGGCGGGAGCTTCCCTGGTTGTCTCTGCTGGAGATTAACACTGCAGGGGGTGCTGTCCCCACACAGACAGCATGTAACATCGGGAGTCTCATGGCAGTTCTTCTGGACCCGCTGCTGGCTTCTTCGGCACTTCCAGGTTCAACCACCAGTCTGTCTCCACTGTGCCCAAGGAAGAGCCCAGAAGCTGCAAGCATGCAGCGGTGGCAGTTCCACTGCCCGTCATCGCTCTGGCTCAAGCTCATGCTGGAAGGGACGCTTCCTCTCCCGACAATGCTTCTTGTGGGCGGGCCAGTCCTTCTGCTGGCATTGGGAGCCGCAGTATCGGGCCACCTGGCAGCGCCCACAGATGTTGAACTCCCGGAGCTGAAACACAGAACACCCATGGCTTCACCATCATGCCTGGGACTCAGAATGTGGAAGGACCCAGCAAACCCCACACACTGAGGATGGAGGCCTGGGCCCCAGTCAGGCCCACCCAACAGGAAAAGGAGGGCCACCCTTAGTGAAAAAGCTAGAGACACAAAGTGGTCTATGGGATGAGCCCCACCAAGAGGGGAAGAGACCCCAACCAAGGCCAGGAAGCAGGCGAGAGGTGGCCAGGAGCCAGTCCTGCTGCAGCAGCCACACCTGCTGCTCGATCGCTGTGCAGGGAGGGTAGCGGCACTCGTAGTAGGTGCAGGAGTTCTCCTCCTCTTCCACCACGTCCCCGTTCGCGTTGTAGTACCGGGTCACGTTCAGGACTGGGAACTGCTCTTCTATGGGGTCCGTGGGAAGCTGCTGAATTGCGAGCCAATATAAGCTTTGCTCCCTTAAAGAAAGATGCAGACACTTCAGCATGCTTCACCCAGACAGCACCAACATGGGGGAAGCGATGTGGAGAGTCCAGGACGGATGCGTCCTCCTACCCAGGACACCCCTGCCCCAACCTTTGTCACAGCAACTCGACTTTCCTCCAGCCCATCCCCACTGCGTGTGCCCATCGCTATTTGACATTAAGTATTCAGCACCTTTTTCGCCCATAACACATAAGCACTGCCTCGCTCACCACACTCGCCCCATGCAGCGCCTGGGACTGAAGGGCACACAGCAGGCTGGAGCACAGTCAACCCAGGCAGCCCCTTGCTCTGCCCTTGACCCTCGGAAACACCCATTGCTGCCACTGTCGGCCTATCTCCCCTCGACGTGGTGGTGGGTTAGGTGCTCATAACTGAAGAATTCTACCAAGAACAGAGACCCGAAAGGCACATGCTGCATGGAGCAGGTCCCAAAGCAAGCACTGGCTGTTCAGGGGCGAGTGTGGAGCATCCAGAGAACAAAGGAGTAGCTCTGACACCCCTCCAACCAGCCATTCCCCATGGAGGCCAGACCGTGAGGGGACCTGTTTAAAAAGGGGAAAGCGTCAGCATGTGGACAGAAGAGCTGCCCGGCTGGTTGGCTCAGCTGGTTAGTATTGTAACAGTAAGGTCATGGGTTCAGATCCCTCAACTGGCCAGCCTCTCCCTCACCATCCCCCAAAAAGGATATGGAAAGATGTTGGCTGCTTTCTGAGCCCTTTAGCGAGGTTCTATACCACAGAAGCAAGTTTCAGATGCAGCTGGCTTTCAACGGCAGAAAAGAAAAAAACCACACCTTTGCAACGAGGCCCCATTTATTGGCAGCTGAGCTGACCTCCTGGGCTCACAGTGAAGTGTGCCAGTAAAGCAGAGCATAGTGCCCGGCCTGGGAACTGCCTGTGTCCCACTCCTGGCCTGACAAAGACAGGCTGAGCCACCATCAAAAGCCAGCCTATGTGGAGGCCACAAGCAGAAAACCAGGACACGCAGCACGAGGCTGGTGGAGACTTCAGGCCCACTCAGGCTGGCTCTGACTGGCCCACTCCTAACCTGAGGCACTGACCAAACACCTACTGGGTTCTAAAACCACATGCTGGCAAATCAACATGACTGATTGGTCCTGAGCCAGCCTGGATCACCTCCAGCAGCAGGAGAGGCCTACAAGGAGGGCACAACCCGGACAGTAATTGTCCTGGGGTGGCACGGAGAATGGGCCGCAGATGGGGCAGCTAGGCCAGCTGACCAGGAGCCTCAGCCCACTGCCCCTGGGCTATAACTGCCCCTTCCCCAAAAGGTGTTCTCACTTGATACTATCTTGTCTCAGAACTGTAAAGGGTGTTCAGGGGAGTAAACTCACATTCAGCCACAGGTTGGCCAGATCATGAGTCACGTGGAGACCTGACTGAGATGGCAAACATCAGAGAGGGTCACCATTGCTGGGTTAAGTGCTGGACAGTGGGAGAGCTGCGTCCTGTCCAGGGAGGGGCATCCCGGCGTCTATACTGAATCTATGTCAGCCTCAGTGGGACAACCAAGGGGGATGCCGTGGACGTTATGCCTGCCAAGCACCCCTTACCTGTTCTGTTGATAACACAATCTGGTTCATTTCGTTAAAAGAACCCAGCCCCAGCTCCAGGGTAGAAAAGTGATTCAAAGCGAGCTCACTAGAATTGATCCCAGGACTTCCTCAGATGCCACCAGGACAGGGCAGACACACGTGTCACCCCACGGGTGAAAAGCAGCTGCTGGTGCCCATTCCGCCTCCATGAGAGGAGCCAATGGGGAGAGCAGAATTGGGGGAGGCGGCAGCGTGCCCGTCTCTTCACAGTTCAGTCAGGGGCACCAAATAAGTGCAAAACTGAACTCAGCTTATGTTACCTGCACCCAAAAGTCCAGACTGACATTATGCTCAAAAGGATAAAAATTTTAGGGCCGGCCTGTGGCTCACTTGGGAGGGCGTGGTGCTGACAACACCAAGTCAAGGATTGACATCCCCTTACTGGTCATCTTTTAAAAAGAAAAGAAAAAGATTAAAATTTTTACAACTATTACAAAAGGGTCAGTTTCACTCAAGAGCAGTATGAGTGAATTGATGGATCCAGACTCTAATAGAGGCTGGCCGGTCAGCTCAGTTGGTTAGAGCGCAGCCTTATAACACCAAGGTCACGGATTAGGATGCCCAAACCAGCCAGCAGCTGCCCTGCGTCCCCCCTCCCCCCAAAAAACCCAAACCTCTATTATAACAGCAGGGAACAAAACCACCAGCCAAACCTAGAGTGTTAGCCACTCACGGGCCCTGCTTTCACCAGCCAAAGCCTGGTTAGGAGTGATGAGTTGCAGGACACTCCTCCGGAGCAGCACCTGAAGGCCTGGGGACCATCCCCTCCACCACCAACCAGTCAGCCAGGTGCTCACACCATTTCTACCTCCACTGCACGGGGCTCTGGCATGACCCTGAAAGTGACGACTGCAAAGATTCCACCCACAGCTGCCATCTATCGCCAAGCCCGAAATACTAAACGTTACCAACATTACTGACAACTGTCTGCTGAGGCTATCAGTGTTGGCAATGTTGGGAAAGGCTGCCTGGAGGCTCGAGGACATGCACAGAAACCCCAGGGAGCCCCTCAACACATCAACAATGCATGTGAAGCCAGGGAGTTCCTGGACCAATAGGACTCCTGACCCCCATCCTGTGGGTCCCTGAGCTCTTCCCAAGGGCTGCATGAAGCTCACAGCTGGGCTGGTTCGGGGGGCAGCAGGAACCACCCTCCCAAGTGCGCAGCCTATGACAAGCACTGTGCTCAGGACCCTGGGTAGGTGAGAGTCCGAGAGTCTGAGCCCCTGAACTACATGGTCCTGCTTCCTTTAAGCCACTGCTAAGAGAAAACTGTTTAGCAAAAGAACATGACAAAAAGACCCATCTGTGTACACTAGGAAGAAACGTGAGATGAGGAAGGCTGACATTTCTCAGGGCTGTGGAGCAGACACCCTGCTCCCACGGTGACCTGACACTGGCCCTGCCTAGGACAGGCAGCCCTCTCCCTACTTGATCATATGAACTAAACAGAGGTTCCTAGAACCAAGTATCAGATCAACCCCAAAATATAATCATCAAAATCCTTTCCGCTCTCATGAAGAATAAGAAAAGGAGGACCCCATGCTTTGGGGAAAAATAGCCAAGGTCCTAAAATACACAGAAGCGTCAGGGAATGTAAGCAGGAGGGTGGGCCCCTCCTGGTAATAAGAGCATGGGGGAGGCCTTCCTCAGAAGGCACTTCTGCCATGTACCTGGGCCCCTGAGCAGACCCACCTTTGTTTGCTGGAGGTCTCTTCGGCTTTGGGCCGCCAGCCCCAGGGCACCAGCTGCAGGTTGTCCAGGCGATTGTCCACAGTCACAGCATTGAGATGTACCACCTGAAACCCCGGAGCGATGCCTCCCCTGTGTCGCTCCCTAGGAAACAGACAACTCTCTAGATGGCTGCCTCTGACCCTCACAAATATTTCTGGTTAAGCACCAAAGTCCAATTGGAAAGAAATATCAGCCATGTGATCTGAACTGTCCTTTTGACCAACATCAGAGAGAAGCTGCCCAGAGGAATCTGAGCACATCAGTCTGTGGCCCAAACAGGACAGGGACCACATTGACAGTTCAGACCCTGGGTTTAAGACTAAGAGAGCCAAGGATGGAAACCAAAAGCCACCTAAACAGACAGCCTGGAAACAGCTTTCCATGTGATTAATCCCAAACTTTTCTGAACCCCACCTTGCACACTAAGGAGAGGCAGCCCCTTCCCCACATCCCACCAACAGGCTCAGCAAGAGCCCAGCAAAGAGAACAGACCCCGCCCTCCTCCAGAGGAGACGATGTCCAGGGCCAGTTCCCCAGCACAAAGTTCACTGGGTGTCTGAAGTACCACAATATGCAAATTAGCCATTCCTTTGCGTTAATGGCCAAGAACACAAAAATAACTCCAAGAGTCAGGGAACGGGAGTGGGCTCACGTTCCTCTATTGCCTTCAAGCATCCTATGCACATCAGGGCCCACAGAGGACCCCTGAGGTGGGAGACAAGGACAGCTCGAAAATACCCACCACAGCAGCTCATGGAGAAGCCTTCCGGAGCCCCTTCCTCGGTTTTTGTCAAAGGCATATGCAAATATCTTAGCACCATTTCCATCTGCATCTACTTCCATTCGGGCCTGAGAAACAAGGAAAAGGTCTGTTAAAAAACCTCCAGTTCTCAGCAGCACTTCAAATCTCTTTTAGAAAAATCAAGTGAGGCAAACAAGCCAGAGGGACAAATGCCAGCCCTGCTCCTGGGACCCTGGGGTCTGCGGAGGCTCCCACAGACACCCAGCACAAAGAGGCCAGTTGCGTCCAACCACTCTCCATCTGGGCAAGAAAGACTCATGAACAATTCTTTGCAAAATACTATTGATACAGAGAAATAAATCTTCCCACCCTTAAAAAAGCCACAACCTAGTGATAAAGAGAAACCCTGAACAAGTAACTACTGCAAAAGTGCGGAGCACTGAGGTGCGTGTGGCGGGGCCACTGGCTCTGGGAGGGTTTCTGAAGAGGCAAAGACTGGCAACAGGAATACAGCTCCTCATGGAGAGCACTGGGAAGGGGCAGGATGACCTCAGGCGGGGCAGAGAATGGGGAGCAGCGGAGATCACTTGGCACTGGAGCTCATCTGATTTAACAGACATTCAATCACAAACTCCACTGTGTAGCAACAGCTGGGTACTGTCAAGACCTGGGTTTTGGACCTGGTGGCCCTGAGTGTTCACAGGCCAGCACTAGATGCCCACATGTGAGACCTCTTGCTCTAGTAGCTCAGGGAGAACACTCATTTCTCATGACTGTTCCTGGGCACTGACCAAAAGCAACAGCGAAGGAATGGCCATCCTTACCTCAAAGGAGTAGCTCTCCACCAGCGGGATGTCTTGTTCATCTATCAGTGTGTATTTGGTCTGGAAATTAAGCACGTTTCAAACCATTACATTTGGGATCTGCATAACATACAGTAACTAATAACCAGTAACAGGCAGGAAGAGAGCTGTGTTTCCTCCCGAAGTATAAAGTAAGTACATGCCTCTTCAGACTAAGATAAGTCAGCAAGCAGAGATCTGGGGATCTCAGTCCACTCCAGCTGGTATGGGCAGTCTATGCCAAGACACAGGCAGACACATTAAAAGCCAGTCACTGCCCACTTTACTCTGTACCAGAGGAGCAGGTGTCAGGCTTGGGCGTCCACACAAGACGAACCCCAACCAGTGGCACTGAGCTTTAAATGCACCAATAAACCTAGTCAACGATGGTTTCACTGGAGTAGAGAGAAGGGGCAGGGATTGAGGCAGAAATCCAGAGGGTTTCAACTAATGAAACTTATTAAGGTGGGGAGCAGGTACCCACGTGCTCACTGAATTACCCTTTAATATGTTCCAAATAAAAACTTTTAGGGACGATATTAATGCAATCAGTCACTGAGCAGAAGTGCTCACCCTTCCCTAGTCAGAGAGCCCCACACCCGGCATTCTCTGCCTGAGCTACTGCACGACCAGAGGGAAAAAGTTCCTAAAACGGGCCAGTCTCACTCTTGGGAGTTTTTCTTCTAGGATCTGAACCCGTTTTTTCTTTCTTTTTTTTTCAAAAAAAAAGATGACCAGTAAGGGGATCTTAATCCTTGACTTGGTGTTGTCAGCACCAAGCTCGCTAACCAGCCACCCCTATATAGGGATCTGAACCCGTGGCCTTGGCGTTATCAGCACCACACTCTCCCAAGTGAGCCACGGGCCGGCCCTCTGAACCCATTTTACCTTTATCTGGCTGCACACTGCCTCTGCTCCTGTCTCCCACCAGAAGCTGTAGTCACTGGGGATAGGAACAGGGCTCCCATCTAGGGGAGAGTCCCTGGCTGGTGCAGCTACACGGCCGGCTCCTGGAAACAGCCAGGCCTCAATGCCCACAGGTGCCACGGAAGTCCCAGCCACAAGCGCGCAGAGGGTGGGAGTCGGGCAAGGGGACAAGTGGAGAGAGGCCCCTGAGGGCCAGCATCAGGGTCCTGGCTGCCGGGTCCCCGCTCCGGTGAAGCCTGAGACTCAACCAAACTTGGCAGACCGTCGGCAGCGTTAGAACCAGTCCCTAAGCCCACACCAGACCCGCCTGGCGAGAGGCGTCGAGGTGGCGCTGCCGCGCTGCGTTCAAACCCTGTGGCCGCAGATGCAGCCAACATCGCGCTAGGACCCGATCGCGGGCACCCCAATAGGGCTCCGGAGCACGCGGACCACGCATCCTCGCACCCCGCTCGGGACAGGCCGTGGCCGCCTCCTCCCGCGGCGCGCCGGGCCGGCTACAGCCAGTGCGTCCGGGAGCCCGGGGGTGCGCGGCCCGCGGAAGGAGGGCTGCACCTCGCGGGGACACGCAGCCCGGCCCGCGCA